ATATATGAAATACAAGTTACAACTCCGATCCTATTTGATTTGACAAAATCTACAAAGACGAGAGTTACTTTAAAATGTGACTATCCAATTCAAAACTAATTCTCAGTAAATAAAGAAGTCCTAAGTTTTTATAAGCAGTTACACTGGATTTTTATGATTTGATGTTGAATCCTCAACAATTATTATTATTGTAAATTACCACCAATAATTATAGTTTAGATAATTGGAAACTATTCACAAATCACCATCGAGAGCTGCCTTTCGGCTAGGGTGGGCTTCAGCCTAGTGCAACTTGGGTAATTGATTCTTTGGTGCTCAGTTCTATCTTCTTTTTGAAGAACGATATGATTACCTACAGTAATTTCATCCAAATTACTGAAAGGGGAAGGATCAATACGAACTCGAAATGTAACGCCACCCCACCTTGACAACTCCTAAAATAAAAAATATAGTCCATTGATGTGAAAATTTCTAGCTCTCCTCGCTTATCGAGTAAAGGATCTTATGATTAAGATTAGAAATGCATAATTATTTGGAAACTACATAACATCAAATGTAAATCTTGTATTTTGCAACAGTGTAAGTTGCAATTAAGAAATCATGTTCATGAATTGAAGCGCATCTGTCATGCTTACCTTATACAAACCACACAACTTGTACGAGTTTGTGCGATCCCAAACTTTAAGTTTATGTTTATGTATAAGAAAACAAGGAAATATAAAGTAATTAAAGAATGGGATGTGTTATCCACACATTTATTTTTACTTTATACACACCCTTTTAATTTACGATCGTCGGATCGTCTGAATTAAAAAAGATTAAATGATAAAAATTAACAAAAAACATGTAAAAAGTAAAAAGAAATGTGTTAATAGCAGACTTCTTGAACAATTAGACAAAGTCTTTGCAATTACAGAATGAACGGATGATAAGCAGGCTTGCTTTTTAAAAATGAGTGATAAGAAAACCCACACACAGAGTGGTCCTTCCCACTTGCAGACAGTGCCAAAATAGCGCACCCTGTCATCAAATTGATGTTTTTGTTGTGGATAAATTTAGAGATAGAAGAGACGGAAATCGGTCGAGAGAATAAAATAGGAAAAGATTTGAGGAATTCTTTATGCTTTTTGTATTTTATTTATATTAGTAACAGAAATATAGGACTTTTATACATAATATATTAGAATTTAGCTTCATACATGTGCTATAATTTTAACTTTAAACCAATGATTATAAATTGTTTGTATTAAACAATTAAGTTGGTGTTAAAAAATTGTAAATTTTGGAGCATGTACATGAATTTTAGGAGCATTTATTGTATATTAGAGTTTCATGTATTTTCATAAAATACAGTGAATTTTGAGTTACTTAATTTTCAAAAACTCAAAGATTGACTTTGATTGTACTTTAAAATAGATGTGGCAAATTAATTTATTAAATTGCTTATAGATAATTGTTAAAAAAAATTAATTTAATATCATTATAATACAGAAATAAAATTAATAATGATGAGCCTAAATTAAATTAAGGAAATTAAATAGATCTTAATAATTACCTACCAATTTAGCGAGTTTGCCACCACTAGTATGAAAGTCTTGGACAAACAGTTAATTGACAAGGTGAGAAATGACCGCACTAGCATGAATACTCAGCAAACTTATCAAGTTGATCTTATCTGTGTTTTTTTATTATATGATTGATAAGCCGCCTACCACCTAACATGCCACTTGGTCGGTGTCTTATCACCACACATACGCGCGAGCTTTCAAGAATTCAGTTTTTATAAGAATAGCCTGTTTTTGGGTCGGACACACAGAAGACTTTAGAATCTATACATGCTGCAGCTCACAAAAAAGTAGTCTTTTTTAATTTTCAGTTTACGGATGTGTCCGAGATTACCACGTTCATCATATATGCACCCCATTTTTATTTGTAATTTACCAAGTTATCAACCAGTCCACATGCTTGCTCCATGTTTCATTGTCTGCAAAGGTAATGAAAGTAGTCAAGAAACAATATTATTATTGATAGTGCAAGCATGTGAGACTGTGAATATAAAATCTCAACATGATAAAAGTAAGACTTTTCGTTTAGGTTACCACATGCTTTACACAAATCATTGTGTTGAAAGTTTGATAAGTGAGAAGAACTAGTTATTTATTGAAAATTAATTAAACTATCAAAGTAAGAGAACAAGAATGGTGATTATAAAAAGAACAATGTTTGGCTACTCAAAGATGAGTTGAAAATCTTACTCAAAACTCTTCATGTTTAAATTATAGAGGTTTGTGCTTATGTTTAGAATCGTTCATTTTATAAATCATTTTGTAAATATTATATCTGCAAAAAAGGAAAAAGAAAAAAAAGAATTACAACTAAAGTCGCTTGGTCAATCTATTGTAACAAATATATAAACGATTCGTAATGGTTTTACCAATTCCATTCATTTGTTTTTATACAGTTTGATGACTAAACAACCTTAATTTTAATTGACTTCATGCAAAGGCGATCTTTATAGATTGATTTATAATATAAACAATTATGATCATAAATACAAGTTCTATAGATCAGCAATGAATAGTTACTAAATGAGTTTAGTTTTAATTTATTTTTATTTGCAAGTGGTCTCTTAATTTGAGTTTATACTGTGAACGATTCTGATCATAAGTAAATCGATCGTAAAGTGTTTTGAGGAGGACTTCCTTTAAAACTTTTGAGTATCCAAGTATTGTTCTTCATTTTTCTCTTGAATGAGATCCATGACAAGGGTTCAAAAATAAAGAAATGTCCAATCTTGTTACAAAGTGCATAGTTTTGTGTGTCTAAATAATTTTATTGTAAAAAGAAAACTGTGATTGGCACTCCAAAAATCTCATTCTACACTCTCCACAAATGCATTTTTCTTTCTAAATACAGAAAGTTTGGAGTGCAAAAGGAGAAGTTTGGAGTGCCAAATGTATCATATTTAGAAAACCTAAACCACATTATATGAAATAATTAATAAGAATAGAAAAATGTTGCTAGATATTTTAATTTCATGATAACCCTAATTAATCTGCTAGTTTTATTCTTGCCCACAATAATTCTCAAGTGCAATGCTTAAGTTGCGGAGTTCTTTCTATTGGTTTGAGTGGTTTAGATCCATTATAATATATAATGAGTTTTCACAAATCATATGGGTGACCCAATTACTAGTAAAACTCGAAAACCAGAAACTCATCACTTGATGAGCATTGTGAACAAACTGGTGCATCAAAATTTAATCATCAAAAGAAAATTTGGTGATTTGAAACATGAAAATACCCTAAAGCCGTCACCTCGTTACTTGATCGATTTTCTACTAAAAGATAAAGCCGTCCCAAAACAGAAGATGCGAGTTTGGGTGTGACAAAAGATATATATGAAAGCCACGGAGGAAGATGACTCCGACCCTTTGCTGGGGAGCAGAAGAATTGAAAGACAAAAAAGCGAAGAGAGGGAGCGTTTTGGTGGTCTAGCAACTTTTAACGTCGAATTACAGGAAAGAAAACTTGACGAAAATGCAGCCCCAAAACATGGAGAAACATATGCAGAAAAGGTATGGTTTTTTCACCTCTCATTACGTGCATGTTTAACCAATTTGTAACTCAATTAATTGAGAACTTTGTTCTCCAATATTCCATGTACGAGAGGTTGGTAATTGATGAAGTTTGACTTGATGAAACCCTAGCTAAAGAATCTTCTCCTCGTACGTCACGTGACGTGGGGGTTGGGCAAATGGCAACCCAACTCGCTTGTTGGTACATCACGCGACGAAATCACCATACGTTTTCCAGTTTTTGCCTTTTACATCTTATTTTCCTTTCGTGATCGTAACTACGTACATCTACAAAATAAAATTCATTTCGTTTATTTTCCAGAAAAAAAGTTTGTCTTGGGATTTGGATTTTGCATGCCGGCGAATACTACGCGTTTCATCGGATACTTTTCCAATACTTCATTATTCGATTTGGATTTTCCTTGTTTGCTTTTGCACTACTACCCCGCAAGGAAACTACGAGCAATGAACATTTTTCGTTATGGAGAAAATTACAAATTGGAATACATGGTACAATCCGGGTTTCGTTTTGAAAGATTCCTTTCAAATATTAGTAATCGTCGTCCAAGATATTATGGGATATTGTCTTGCATGATTCAAAACAATTCAAACAAACTCACCATACTCGATTAATTAATCTTAACTTGGATAATAGTTTTATTAAAACCAAAAGAAAAATTCGAAACTCAAGCGTGTAATAGACATGTGAAACAACTTATAGATCATCATCATGACCTCCCTTCCAAATGATACAAACCATGTGGAGAGAATTTCCTTCTGGATTGTTTCTTAGGTAGGCCTCTCATACGTCTTCCTCTTCCTACTTATATGTGTTAGTGAGTACTATGTAATTGGAAGTTGAGTCACGCTAAGAAGATTAAATTTGTAAACTAAATTTTATAAACCAAATAATATGGAAGTTGATGATTGGATTATTACTTAAACGTTGATAAATGTGCTCATTTCTTATTGATGACATATCATTCAGTTTGCAAATTTAGTTTATAAATTTAGTCTCCCTAGCATTACTCATTAGAAGTTAGGTTTTGAGAGTGATTCAAACACAAGTTGAATCTTCTCCCATTATTAGTTGAGTTTACTTTTCTTCTTCTTCTCTCAAATTTTATTCTATATCATTACGATGTACTAATATTTTTTTTCGCTTACAAGTTTAAGGTCTCAATAATAAACCCTAATCCTATAATAAATCTTAATCCTAATAGGTCCGACTCTCATAAATTATAATTTCGATACAATTCTTCTACCTCAATATTATATAAGTATATTAGTAAAAGAGTATTCACTAAAAAGACATTAGGAGAACAGGAAGCGGGGGCTGGGAAGACGACGTCAAAAGCACCAACCAGCCACTTGCCGCTGTAAATTCAGCAGCCCCCACCGCCTGTAAAACTTTTCTTCTTCTTTATTCAACCAAAAAAAGCAATTTTTATTATTTTTTAATTCAGAAAATCTCTTTAAATACTGGCCCCGTCCCTTAGCAGTAGCACCTCATCCTTTAACAACTCTCACCAGTCTCCCTGCGTTTTTTTCAGACCGACACAGAAATGGGGTTTGCTTCCTACCGCTCCTCAGTTTCCTCTGCCACCAAATGGCTGGGATTCGTCACCGCCGTCTGGGTCCAAGCTATTTCCGGCAACAACTACACTTTCTCCAACTACTCCGCCGCCCTCAAAACCCTCATGGGCCTCACCCAGCTCGAACTCAACAACCTCTCCGTAGCCAAAGACGTCGGCAAAGCCTTCGGTCTCCTCGCCGGGCTGGCTTCCGATAAACTGCCGACCTGGGTCATCCTCCTCATCGGATCAGTCGAGGGTCTCGTCGGCTACGGCGCCCAGTGGCTCGTCGTCAGCGAAAGAATCAAGCCCCTCTCCTACTGGCAGGTAAATAAAAAATTCAGTCGGCACTTTCGTGGAACACTAAAGAGTGCAATCAAACTAACAATTAGTTTAATTTTTCTCTCAGATGTGTATATTTCTCTGCATGGGCGGCAACAGCACGACGTGGATGAACACGGCGATTCTCGTCACATGCATCCGAAACTTCCGGCGAAACCGGGGACCCGTTTCGGGGATTCTGAAGGGCTACGTGGGTCTCAGCACCGCCATCTTCACCGACCTCTGCGCCGCCCTCTTCAACAACGACCCCGCTAGCTTCCTCTTCATGCTCTCCGTAACCCCCTTCGCCGTCTGCTTAACCGCCATGCTCTTCCTCCGCGAGGTCCCCCCTTCTTCCTCCTCCTCCTCCGAAGACAATCGCGACTCCAGATATTTCTGGGTCGTCAACGCCGTCGCCGTCTGCGTCGCACTGTACCTCCTCGCCTATGACTTCATCCCAAATCCATCGAACCTCTTGTCCCTAATCTTCTCCGTCATTTTGTTAATCCTCCTGGCGTCGCCGCTCGCGATTCCTGCGTATGCGTTTTTCACCGCGTGGGCCTCGAAGCCGGACCTGGTCGCGCCCGAGTCGGGTCCAGATCCGAACACCAGATCTGACGAGCCACTTTTGAGGCAGACGTCGGCGGACGACACACAGCACAAGCCAGAGGTGGCTGCTGCGGCGGCGGAGGTGGTGGAGGCGAAGAGGAGGCCGGTGCTCGGGGAGGACCACACCATCTTCGATGCGATGGTGGCGTTGGATTTCTGGATTTTGTTCGTGTCGTTTTTGTGCGGGGTGGGGACGGGTCTGGCGGTTATGAACAATATGGGGCAGATTGGATTGGCGCTCGGATACGTGGACGTGTCGATCTTCGTTTCGCTGACGAGCATTTGGGGTTTTTTCGGGCGGATCGGTTCGGGTATGATTTCGGAGTACTTCATCAGGTTGGTTTACTCAACACCCACTCTTCCTCTTTACGTATACTTCATCAGGAGAGTTAAACTAACTATTATTCATATTTGTTTTGCTATGCTTTTTTTCCTTTTTTTAAAAAAAATTATTTTTGAAAATATCAATTTAAACCAGAATTATCCTTTTTCAGAAGTGTTTGTTAGAAATTATGATTTCGGGTATAATTAATAATTCTAGAGAAGTACAGGAAGATTCGGATTTTTCCAATAAAATATTTAACGATTCTCATTTTTAGTGTACTTTTAATAATACACATATTAGCTTCCAAACAGAGTTAGATTCGGTTTTGGAATTATATATTTTCTTCAATAAGATACCTTTTTTATTTTTTAATTTGCTTTTGGGTTCTTTTGACTTCCCCTTAAAGAATTGCTTCGTGTATTTTTATAAGTAAATCATTGTTGCAAAAAATTTGTCTCCTTGTGCATCCTCCCCACTCACGGACCCGGCTTCTCTGTCTTTTCAGTTCCCATACATTCTCATCCCTTCTGGTTTTGTGCGATCACAGTTAAACTAAGTTAACACTTTATATTGATTTTTTTATAGAGATAATAAGATAAAAGTAATAGTGATATAAAATATTGACGTGACTTAACCATGATCGCACAAATAAGAGGAGATAAGAATGTATGAGAACTGGGAGGGCAAAGAAACCAGGTCCCCACTCACTCCTCCTTTTCTATTATTTAGATTCCGGAATTTCCGATTCACACTTAAGAGCAAAAATGTGCTTTAAGATTGCTTTTGAGATCTTTTTGGTTTTAATTTTGGCCAATTACACTACTTACATGTAGTTAATATAATTATTATTTGACGGTCGAGATGGTGATTATGTTAATAATATATAAGTGTTATACTCTCCTACTCTCTTAATGTAGATGATATTATTTGTTAAAAAAAAAAAAAAGTATTATAGTCAAATATATGTAATTTTCAAATATTAAGGGAACATGGCTTTTGGGAAATATGAAAGGTAACATACCCTTTGGGTGAACATTTTAGGGCAAGTTGATTAGAAATTAAGCAACGCGGTACATACGGTCTGGATTTAAGCTATCCTGTTTGAGTTTTTCCCCCACAAAGTCCCTCTCATTTTCCAGATTGCATACATAAATGTGGGTAGCTGACTCATTCTTTTTTATATACAATAATTTCGTAAGTCCTTAATAACATTACACTTTGAAAAAAAAAAAAAAAAACACTTCAAATTCAATATCGTAGAAAAACAGCATGCCTACTTTAGAGTAGGAGATGACCACCACAAGAATTTTCAAACTAGGAATTAATTAGAACATGACAATTGAGAGGATAGCCGTCGGGCTTTCCTTTTCTGCTGCGGATGAGGATCCTCTCCTGAGCTTAGGATGAGGATCCTCTTAACCACTAAATTCGGATCATTCAAAATTAATTTAACGGTTCCAAACAGAATGATCCTTTAAAAATTATAATAATTACAACAATTGAATTAAATTTGAACGGTCTGGATTTCGTGATCATGAGGATCCCCATCCTGAGCTTGGGAGAGGATCCTCTTCCTTCTTTTATCTCATATTTTCGTGTTTTCTCATTGTAATTATGAGGGTTCTTTTTCTAGTTTATTATAGAACTGGACTTGACTGCTATAAATTCAGTAGCAACTACTGCTTACATACAATCCCGATTGGACATGTGTCCAAATTTTAATTTTTTTAATCAAAACTCTGACATGTGTCTAACCAGGATTGGATGTAAGCTGCTGCTACTGAATTCTTCAACAGTGAAGTTAAATCCTTTATTATAAATATATTTGTACCTCAGGTTACGTTTTTGTACTTAATTTTTTTTTCATGAGGGCCATCCCTTGCTTTATATTGTGGTCCTAACTTTAAATTGCTTGATGGACAAGTTTATGTAATTTTCAGTGTGTTTTTAAATCTCTTTATTCTTTGTATAATATCTATGCTTGGAAAATCTACAAGCTTTCATTGTCTGAATTTTTTTTTTCTTGGTGTCATACTAATTTGGCCTAAGAAAATCAACCAACATTTAACACTTCTGGTCCCAAATTTGTAATGACAGGAAAGCTGCAATACCAAGACCTCTATGGAATGCTGCTTCTCAGATTCTAATGGCCGTTGGCTACATCCTCATGGCCATTGCCATGCCCGGTTCGCTATACATCGGTTCGATTGTCGTTGGCATTTGTTATGGAATTCGTCTTGCCGTCACAGTACCCACCGCATCTGAACTATTTGGTCTCAAGTACTATGGACTGATTTACAACATTCTAATCCTCAACCTTCCACTAGGCTCCTTCCTATTCTCCGGCCTGCTTGCCGGACTATTGTACGACATGGAGGCTACCACCACTGAAGGAGGTGGCAACACATGCATCGGCGCACATTGTTACCGGCTCGTGTTCGTCATCATGGCCATTGCCTGTGTTATTGGGTTTGGTTTGGACATTTTGCTGTCCATTAGAACCAAGAATCTCTACACGAGGATTCAAGCTGGCAAGAAAACAAGGAGAGTGGTTAATGGCACACAGTAGGGTAAACAAATGTGGTACTTGGGCACCAATTAGCTCTTAGTCTACTTGAGTTTATTTCAAGTTTGAATCTCCTTCCCATTAGTTTTAGAAAATGTTGGACTTGGGAGACCAAGAATGTGAGGATTGATGGGCTTAATTTTAGCCCAATGATATCCTCCATTTAGAATTAGAAATAAGTTGGATTTGTGAATTTTTGAGGCCTGCATTATGTTTGATGGGCTTCCTTGGACTGCGAAATTTGTATTGATTAGTTCTTGTTGGATTTAGTCTGTAATTTTTCTGATAATCGGATTACTTTCCTACCAATAGCCAATAGGTAGGGTCTACGTATTTACCAACCAATCTTTGTTTCTTTTTTGGCCTCTATCTAACATTAAAATATGTTAGGATGGATTCATGATCTTGTCACAATTTGGAGTAATGATCTTTCCGAGTTATTGTTTTACAACTTTTGCCCAAAATAAAAGGTTTTAATCCATGAGCCAAAGCTCCAATTGAAACAAAGTTTAAAGACCAATACTCCAATTTTCTCTAAATTAAATACCAAATGAAAAATGCTATTTTCATCTTAAATATTGTTGACTCTAAAATCTACCAAGCCTACGTGGCGCGCAGGCCGAGTAATTAATAAGCTAACTACGTCATTCGGTTGTGTACGGGGCGTGCCAACTTGTCGGCCGAGTTCGGCCGGGGAATAAAATATGTTGATGTAGCGTTGGGCACACTACTGACTTCTCAATCTTGCGACTGCGGCTGAGGAAGGAACATGTCTCGGTCTTCGAGTTCTAGAGCCTGAAGACAAGGTTGCTAGTACTGCGAAGTTCAATATCAAATTTGGCTTTCAATGTGCCGAACGTAGTAACCTATAACACTAGTCGCAAGCTGAGGAAGGAACATGTCTCGGTCTTCGAGTTCTAGAGCCTGAAGACAAGGTTGCTAGTACTGCGAAGTTCAATATCAAATTTAGCTTTCAATGTGCCGAACGTAGTAACTTGTAACACTTCACTTGGCCGAGAAGGCTGATGAGATGTCCTCTACCAACAAAGACTCGAAAATCCTTGTTGACCGAGACTTGGATAAATAACTAATTGGTATCGAAGCAGTGTTGTTTATCCACTGAAGGTGCTCATCGGCCGGTTGATTCTACGACTCTAGTGCTGTTTATCCAAACTGAAGATATCGCCGGTTGCCTTCACAGTACTGTTTATTTAAACTGAAGATGTGTCAGCGGAAAAGAAAATAAAAGAATCTCAAGGTTGTTGAGAGGTTTCACGTAAAGCGAGAGTTTGTGCAAGGCAATTTGTGTGTTGAATTGGAGAGACTTGAATGATGCAATCCCCTCTATATATATAGCAGCGAACCTACTCATGGTCGAACCAGAGATGTATCTGGACTAAAACTCTCAAATCTATTCTAACTAGGATTCGACCAATCCTAGTTTCAATAGGTTTCTGAACCAAGCTCTATAACGAATCAGATTCATTCCCGACTTCTCAGCATCTTCAACTCTGAAACCCATTTGTTGTACCAGGACTCGACTTCTTCGATTTTATCCAAATCAGTCCTTCTTGCAATAGGACTTGGTCATCCTGATTGGGCGGCTTATGATAGCTGGACGACCCATAGTATTTTTGGAAAAGCATTGGACCGAACACAAACCTAAGCTCGGCCCAATAATATTATTTTGGGCCCAAACATTGCCCCCTCGCTTCTGAGGTCCTTGGCCCAAAACTCCTTAGTCAAGTTTCAACCTTGAAGAAGTGAAATCAAACCCTTAAGGTATCTTTAAAAGACAATGAAAAGTCTCGAATATTCCACCACCAAGCGTATTTATGAAGCATGATTGCACGATCCCAATTTTGTCAGACACTCTGCCACGTGGCATCTCCTTGGCATGTTTGCCCTTACTTGACATTGAAACGCCTCTTAAAACTAAACTCTCCACCACACGCCATCATTATAACCTTGATCTGCGAAATTTCGGTCTTTTTGAGACGTGCAGATACTCAAACATCTTTTCACCATTAAGCTCGCCGTCACACGCCATCGTGTAGTCTCGATTTGCAAGTTTTTCGGTCCCTTCACCTGGATTCTTTGAATATTCATCATGATTACTAAATCCCCCGGTCGATTTTATCCTTCATTTTAAAACCGCTGGATTTTCCCAAAACGCCTATAAATACTCACCTCTTTTCATTCAATCCTTTTACGTTTTCATAACCCTCAAATCCCTTTGCCACTTTCTCTCGCATCTCTTCGCCATTCTCTTTCGAAACCCAAAAAACCAGCCTTCAATTCCCAGGAAAACCTTCATTTTCTCCCATGGTTGCCAACGTTTTCATCAGCAAGTTAGTCGAGAAGTGCAGCAAATGTCAAAACATTACCGACCGAAACACAATCAAAACCATCTGATTTGAGGGTAAGCCAAACGCCTATCACCAAACCCTAGGCCCATTATTTAAGGACGATATTCTAGAAGCAATTACTGACATGCTCAAGGAGCACTGCCTAAAACCCTTACTCTAAGGGTACGACTAGTGGAAATGGGAATCGGCCAAACCCTAGGGCATTTAGCCCTCGACCACTTTGGCCTGGGTGACCCGGATGGAACCATATTTTAATGGTGAGTGGAAGGCTCTCGGCATTTTCGATGTCGTCAAACTATAACAACCTATCCCGCGATTTACAGAACAAAAAGTGTATTTTTGTATTTTCACTAAGTTTTGGGATATTTTCCTTTTAAAAATGGTTTTTGGGTCTTAATTGGTGAGCCCAAGGGGCCCATATCTTGATTTGTGCCCCAGTTCTCTTCCATTTTTCTTTCTTTTTCTGATTTTTATAACTCTCTTCTTTCTCAATTCTCTATTCTCTCTCATTTTTCCTTTGTGATCTCTCCGTTCTCTCTCTCGAAACCCTCTCACCCTCTGATCCACCCACACGCACACCCTTACCATTTACCTGCAACACCATCACCATCACCCCTACGAATTAAGATTCAAAGAAAGAACACCACATACCCTTCTTTTCCTTTCGGCCGGTACTATTCATCATCTTCTCCGTCATGTTGCGTATTTTTTCGACTTTGGTAAGCTTCTAAAAACCCTTGGGATGTTTTTTAGGGTTAGATCGAAACTTGTTTTAAGTTGTGTATATGTTTGAATCACAGAAAATAGCTCGGAGTAGTTTTTCCAAATTTTTCGACGAGCACCGCCACTTTCGAGGCACTTTCCGGCCAAAACACGGCGAGTTGGCTTGCATACATGGTATCAATCTCTTCGTCTTGCTGAGTACTACAACTTTCCTTTAGTTTCACCCAATTTTATTGAGTATCGAAGAAGTTATGGGCGTTTGAAGTTTGCCCAGAAACCAGCCAAAACCTTGACCTGAAAATGGGTCAACCCGATCCATTAACCCAAGGTTCAACCTAATTACCCAAGCCTAAGTCTGAAATCCAAACCCAGGCCCTTGGGCCATTTCGATTTAGGTTCTTAGGCCCGTGCATCCTAAACCTTTAATCCTTTAAAACCCAAAACCGTTAACCCTTTAAATTATTAAAGCCCTAGGCCCAACCCGGTCCAACCTAAACCCTAAGCCCAGACCGAGTTTGACTTATTGACCCGGACCCGTTGACTTTGACCAGGTCTGACCGTTGACCCGGTCAACGGTCAGCGTTAACTTTGACCGTTAACTTTTTGGGTTTTCATGCAGGACCACTCCTAGGCTAATTTTGATGTCTTGAAGCTGTTTCCGATGTCTATTTTCCCAAATTAAATCTTTTGAGTAGAGTTTGACTAAATGCACCATTTATATGCTTAAAGGCAATTATTTGTGGCGTTTCCGTCTTCGCTAGTTGTGTGGCTCTTCGGCGGCTAAGTATCTGTGAGTGGACCCTTTCTAAAAATACATGTTTTGATAGTAGAAATGCATACATGAAAAACATGATTTGATGATTACGTTTTATGAAACATTTTGTGAGATAACATGCTTATTGACGCTAGTTTGAATTATTACTATTTTTCCTATAACTCGTGTTCTTATAGAATATCTGATGGATGACAATATGATATTTAGAACAAGTTTAGAATACCACTTTATAGTATAGATGATGGATGACTTTATACTATGAAGTTGTTTTTCAATATATATATATATGTTCAAAGGTTTTGTACTTAACTAGTGGTCTCTATTTCGCTACGGGACGAAGGAATAGATTCCGGTCCATCCCAGGCGACGGTTATGGTGTTGGCATAGGGCCTAAAGTGTTTTTCCTCTGGCTATTAGCATAGAGACGGGGTTCGACATGGGGCTTGGAATGTATTTTCCTCTGACTGTCTGCTCAGAGACGGGGAACCGGCATGGGACTTGGGGGTATCAGACATTCACTAGTGATTATTATATATACAAGTTATGATTTAACACATTGCATGACATGCTAGGTTTCAGAAAACCTATTTTATCATGTTATATGTGTTTCCATAAAACCTGGGTGTTAGTACGTTGATGTTTTATTTTATATATATATATATATATCAACTTGGTTCACTTATGTTTGTTTTGCGCCCCCTTCAGGACTTAGAATTGAGGCATACAATCCCCTCACTTCCACATCGGCATCTTCAAGTCCTCTCGGTGTAGGATCCATTCTTTTATTCATTTAATTTTATATTATTTCTTTTAGTATTCTAGATTAGATGTGTGCTCTGAACATGTTCCTTAATTGCATATTCATTATTCTTTTATATTTATAAGTCTTATCTATCCCTTGTTTTCAGCATTTGCACTCTATAAATGGCTTTCATCACCATCGTGTACCGGCCAGCACGTGCCTGTTTTGGTATTCGGGGAATACCGGGATCGGGGCGTGTTAGATTGGTATCAGAGCATACTTAGGATCTTCTATCACTGTAGTAGTGTGTTTTTCATGACATCATTTGGATGTCACGACTTCCGGATTTGGTGTCATTCGACGCTGTTGTGCGAATTTTTCTCTGTTTGAATTGTCACCTTCTAGTTGAAATACAATAATTAATGTCGGGATTGTGCCTCAATAGTGATGACATGGATTGTTGGATGACTTTCAACATTGGATCGATACTCTGCAACATGCATTCCCTGGGAATTGCATACATAATTGGATCTACCTAGGCGTGTTGGGAAACGGAAAAACCTAAGTGAGTCGAATTTGGAAGATATGAAGTGGTGTTGTACTTTGCGACGTGTATTCCCTGGGAATGGTGGGCAGAGTTGGTGTTACTTAGAAGCGACG